GATAGTATTCATCCGCTTCCAATGGTGGTCCTTGGGGAGATCGTTTCCCTCGCTCTTCTGCTTCGTCTAGCAGATGTGGGTATTTCTTGTATACCTGTTCGCTTTTGATAGGCAAGTCTCCTTCAGACTGGCTTCGCCTGAGGGCGTGAACTTGCTCTGCGTCTCTGAAGTGTATCCTGGGCGAGGATCGGGGAAACAACTGATTCTGGTGTTTCTTTTTCCAGTGGAGCTTGCAGTCATCTTCGCTGCAATACTCCCAGTAGACATACGCGTGCCAGGGATGATCAGTCTCTGTTGCGTCTGTCGTTGATAGTTCCTGCTGTCCTCTCACCCATGCACTATCTTCCCTCGGAGGCGTGGAGAACGTGTCTAGTTGCTCCATGGCTCTCCTTTCGATGCGTGGAGTGGGTCTCGCATTTTCCCGTCGGAGCATATCTCTGGCTTTCTCGTCGTACTTCTTCAGGGCTCTCCTGCGGTCCTGGTAGTAAATTTCGACGCTTTTCATATACTTCAGTTTAGCCATATGCTCGACATCCTTCTCCAGTTCTTCCGCTTCTTGGGCTTCCAACTTAGCTACGTCTTGGGACGTGCCAAGCAGCCTGCGGGTATTCGTTAGTTGGTCGTAGTATCTCCAGAGGTCATCCTTGCAGTCGTCCACCTTGCACTTTAACGGAAGTTCCTGTAACAGGTTCCCGTAGAGGTCTTTAAGCATGGGGATTCTCCTCTGGCCATTGGGCTTGTCTCGTTCGGCCCTAATCTTCGCGTGGGCGTGTTTTGCCATGCGTCTTACTACGTTCTTGCACCGTGGACTCATTGGTTCCGTAGGTGCGAGTTCATCGAAGGTCTCCTGTTCCGAGACGGTGAACGATTCCGCCTCCGACCCTTCATCTGAGCTCTCGTCTTCTGGGGTGCTTTCGCCGTTTATTCCCCAGTCCTGTTTGCTCACAAACGTTGCGTTCAACTGTCCTGTCCAGGTGGCGTTAAGTTGCTTGCCGACTTTGCGTCCGCCGTTCCCTTTCTTTGGCTGTCTGCAGTCTCGGGCCATGTGGCCTGGCTTGTCGCAGTTAAAACAGAGTCGTTCCTTGAATTGTCTGTCTTTCCTAGGGTCACGGGGTCGTCCAGGTTTGAACGTGGCATCGAGTTCCATTGGGTCCGACCAACGGTTGTCTCGCGGGTGTTGATCCCGTCATCTGCCCTCGTTTCCCCGGTAGGGGTAACTTTTCTTGGGCTTGTCATAGGTCCGACGTTCCTTCTGGAATTCGTATAGTCGATTGTCGATTCGGACCGTATGTTCGATTAGCGCTACCATGTCCGTTGGTTGTTGTTCCAAACGGGCAAGTTCCATACGTATATGGCTCTTCAGCCCACGTCGGTAGTGGCTGATGAGTGCGCTGGCGTCCCATCCTGTCTGATTGCCGTATCTCTGGAATTCTGTGGAGTACGTGAGGGCGCTGCCAGTCTGCTTAAGTGCAAACAGATGGTCTTCCGCGGTCTTAATCTCATCGATGTCTCCGAACATGCGTCGGATTTCCTTACAGAATCCATTCCAGCTGCCAAACATAGTCTGCGTAGTTGTCATGCTTCCATTGGTACTTTCATATTTGAAATAGTCCTTGAGGAATGGTTCGATCCATCGCAGGGCTTCCCCCCTAAGGTAGGACGCAGTCCACAGGGCATAGCTCTCCTGGGTGGGAAACTTCTCGTCATTGAAGTGCTGGTACAGTTCGACCTGTAGCAAAAACACCTCAAGTTCCTTTCGGTTGCCGGAGTAAGTGTCGGGCAACTTGACGCGTAGAGTTTCCTTGAGTTCGTTGACGGTGGGTGCATCGGGCATCTCTTCATTCTCAGGCTTAGACCTCTGAGACGAAGTTGGCGTGGTGGGGGTTTTCCCCTTCGAACTGACGACAGACATGTTGCTTTGTGTGTAAGCCGGTACCTCGTAGAAGTGGTGCTCAAAGTGTAACGCTGACTTCTAAATGATAGAAGACACAGAGGTTCTCTTGCGTAAAGGTTTACTTATCAGAGGAGGCAGGGGATCAGACACAAAGGCTTCAAGTAACACGTTACTAGTATATAACAAATACTGTATTGAGTTGAGCACGAAGCTCCTATCTAAGGAAATACTATCTACTTATATAGTGGCGTCGTGCCTAGTGGACTCTTGGGAACTCACTTGAGTCCTCGGAGTCCTGGACTCTTAGGACTCTTCTCATCATCCTGCGAGTCCATCACGTGCCTAGTGGACTCCTGGGAACTCACTCGAGTCCTCGGAGTCCTGGACTCTTAGGACTCTTCTCATCATCCTGCGAGTCCGTCACGTGATACTTTCGGAACTACTATTCCCCGCTGCCCCTCCAGGTACCAGGGCCGGTCTCATGCGACCTCCCTCCTTCCTGTCCTGTAGTTGGCCAGCCTTCTTGTTCCGTCGTAACATCGCCGTATCTACGTAGACCTATTGTGCTTACAGAATACGATACCTTCCTGCCTCCTGATCGGGTTCCCTAGACTCCCGTGAGACCTTGGGCCTGCGCCTTACACATTACTAGCCCGAGCTAGCAGCTACTTGCTTTTTCTACCTTGAGCCATTGCAAACTCCGAAACCTGCTTCAAGTCAAAGCCAAAAAAGGCGATTACAAGCGCATGTTGGCTATCAAGCCACAAGCGCTTGTAATGGTATTTTTAGATGATGGAAACATGATGAATCTATTATTAAAATGCGGGTTGAACAAGCATACGCCTGGCCATCAGTCGAGATGGCTCACGTCTTACTACCAGCGACGGAGAACATGTTATCAAAAACTTCGCAACGGCTGATTTGTCACTTTTGCACATTCCTCGTACATCATACACTCGCCTCAAGTTGGTGCTAAATGAAAGGCTGCGGATGGATCCTTGTGTCGAAGTACGGCAATGTGTGGGAGCCTAGCATTCTGGCTGACCCCACCAGCGCTATAGGAGCCCTTGCTCATAAAGAAGAACATCAATTTTCCAGGGCTCAAAATATCACAACCATCTGTGGGCAATCAGCGCCTATATATTGCTATGTCACTGAAAATGGACCTGCGATGTTGCGCGAGACTGGCTCAAGAGCAGTATGGGAGCTGGAAAATGGATCAGACACTGTGCCTATTTATAAACTAACGTTGAGTGACAATGGAAGTCTCGCTGCGATTGCAGATATAAGTGGGAGGGTGTCCATAAAGGTTATTTCAAAAGACGAGAAGGGTTGGCGACCTACAGGTTCACCACGATTTTGCAGTCAATATAGGTCGTAGCACCGGCGTCATATCTCACTATTCCATACAGGAGGCGGCCAACTATTTGTTGACACGGCTCGTGCTGTCTACACTATCAACATCACCAGTCATGCCGTGGTATCATCGACGCTCGTGCGTAGAATGGTGAAAACACAATGGATATGCCATCCTACCAACCCCGATTATATATTGGGCTTTTCAGATACCCTAGTCTATGTTCTCAATTGGGACAACTTGGAGAAGATCAAAACGTTTGAATATTTCCCGCCCCGTCAGGAACTACACCCGAAGTAGTCGTCATACAAACTTGTACACCAAGAGAATCAAGTCAGGGCTTCTGAAGAGCAACAAGTGCCCACCTCTAAGAAAGGACCCGATATCTTGCTCGAAATGTCATATTATGGCCGTTAGGGCAGCCTGAACTGGTATATCATGGATTTAATATGGCGGACATCAAAGTTGGATCTGATCACGAAGGCAGTTTGATGGGTGACACACAAGCCACCAGCAATAAAATTCCATACACAACATTACCCCAGGATGTTACGTCTCGCATCCGGGAGCCTCTTGCGCTTTTATCACATGGAAGGCTCATATTTCTTGATATAGAGCAGTGGATATGCACTTGGACTGTGTCTTCAGTCGGTATGACATTAAGTCAGAAAGACACGACGCACCACTAGCTGTCTCTGGAAGGCTACAAGCCGCCAATGACCACAAGAAAGAAACCGACAGAAACATTGAAAGGTATTATTTTCTCACTGCAGATTGTCACTTCAGGTGACGGCCAAGCATGCTCCATCATGCGCGATGGGCTTAGCTCTGCCCTGTACGGGGCCATATATCAACGGTGCAATGTGCCCGGCTTCGAACATACTTTTCTTTGTGTTGTAATATTGAATATACGGGGCTGTTTGGTGCTATTAGCTGACTTTGGTTAAAATTCCCTTTTTTACCCCAAGCTGGCGGTAAGAGGTGGAACGGAGATAGAGTTGGGGGGGGGACTCTACCAGTATCGAGACAGACTACAGAATGGGCGAATTGATCTACTCGATGATAACTTTATACCATATAAACCGTCCATATACAAAGACTTGGACCTCAATAAGAGGACCATCGTATTTATGGCCACCATACGTCGAATTACGGAGGTTTTGTCCTACAATAGTAATGCCAAGCAAGATATGCATAACTCGTACATCCGTACCGTTCCCCTCACCCACGATACTAATTGAAGTGATCATGGCACCAAATAAAGATATTGCAACCCGAGCACTTATTGTGACTCTTAAATCCCCGATTGGAGGGAAGACAACAGCTGAAGTAGCTGCGAAAACTGGCTTCTCAACCCGATAAGTTAATCGGATATATGCTCGAGCAATTGAACTTTGACCCACATATAGTCACTTGTTATACGAGACGAGTGGGCTACACGCCAATTAGACAAGCTCAATTACCCCACTAGGAAGGTTGTCGTGCCTCCCTCTTTAAGTCGTGGGTGAAATTAAGGGTCGTACTTGTGATATCGTGATATCGTGATATCGTGAGGCACGGCTTAGAAGAGCCCCACTCACCACTTCTAGCTTTGGAGATCAGGGACCACCAAGGGGGGACAGTGGAGACAACGCGGCAATCCGTCAGATTACGGCGCTCAACATAAATGGGCCACGGCGCTAATACGCACTAATTAACTCTAGTTAGCCTAGCATTTGTCATCAAACTGTTCCGTTCCAACATCTTGTCTAGAAACACAGCTTCATCACCATATACCCCCAGGCCACAGCCCTTTCAAATTACCTCACCCTTTTTGTCCGATATATAACTCGTTTTCTTCTTCAATGTCACACGTTTCGCCCCCTCTCCAAATCGCAGTGTACATCGCGGCACATGGATTTGGGCACTTCACCCGCACACTCAACCTCCTTTCCCTTTTATCAGATGGTGGGAAGTACAACTTTTACATTCGCACCTCGTCGTCACTACGTACGGAACCCCTAGCATACGCCCTACACCCTAGCGTCGTCCAGACAAATCCCTACCAGCTAGACGCGGATCAGTCACTTGACTCTCTCGCCAACTTCGACCTCTCTCTCCCACTAGCAGAAGAGACCAAGTTCCTAAAAGAGCACAACATCCAAGCCATCATCGCAGACGCCCACTCCCTACCATGTCTGCTTGCACACGCCGTCGGAATCCACTCAATCCTCATCACCAACTTCACATTCGACAGCATATTCCAAGCTCTCCTCGATAGTGCGCCAACATGCACCAACAGGGCGGTGCTGCAGCTGAAGATCGACGAGATGACGCAGCAATACGCACTAGCGCATTCCATTATTCGATTACCAGGACACATCCCCTTCCCCTTCTCCGGCTCGCAAATCATAGACGCACCAATGCATTCCAGGAAAGCGCTGCAGACTCGGAGCGAGACGTTGGCTGGGCTGGGATTGCAGTGTCTCGATGGTAAGAAGATCTTGCTGAACTGTTTCGGTGGGCATAATTCAGATTCACTTACTGGGGTCCCGAAGTTGCCAGAGGGGTGGGCGTGCATCAGCCAGACGATACATTGCCCGCCGCTCTTCTATGAGATATCGCATGACGTGTATATGCCAGATCTCATTGGGGCGTGTGATGTTGTGCTTGGAAAACTTGGGTGGGGGACGTGTAGTGAGGTGATTGGGAATGGATATAAGCCATTTATTTATGTCCCGCGGAGTGCCTTTATTGAGGAGGCTGGCTTGCTGAGGTGGATGGACAGCGCGCATGGAAGGATTGTTCGCCTGGAAGTGGATGATTATGAGAGCATGGATTGGCGGGGGGCAATTGGAGAGGCGGAGAAGGTGGCCATATCAGGCTCTGTGCCCGTGAAGGATTGGGCAACGAATGATGCAGAGGTGGTCCAGACTTTTGTAGACGCATTAGAGGGTGCATTGAATTGAATATTGATGATATTGTATGTGAACACCACACTTCCCAAGTAAATTATTCCAGCCCGCGAGTTCATACAAATAGAAATAAAACCGAAAGCCGTTATACCTATGTTGAGATGGAAGGTGCTATTTTCCAATCGAGTAGCACTGGTTACGCTGCATGCGCAGCATGAGTATCAGTGATCCTCAAACAAAATAACCACTGCCTTGAGAAGTGGCTCGAATACCCGCTTTTTATTCTGGTCCTTGGATATGAAGTTTACCATTGGAACTAAAGCCTCTTCTACAGTAGCACCCATAGGCAGCTCCCCTCGTGGATGTACATAAAATGCAGCTTCGACGCAAAGCAGGACTACACGTCCTTTATGACTTCGAGTAATATCCGACGAGCCATCCATAGTTTCGGCTTTCATATTAGCCACTATTGTCGTGGACTAAAGAGCCATGTCCGTATGGAACTCGCGCGTATAGAACATCACTGTAACGGGTGGTGATGACCGACCGTTACAGTATATATAGCGTGTTACGCGTATTCCGGGCGAGCCGGAATATTGTAGTCTTTTTGGCTCAGTGGGATGTAGCGCGAGCGTAACCGTACATCGTTACAATCAACCAAAAGACATGGTCTCGCTCATCGAACATACAGTCCGGATCAACAACCAGCTATATGAGTTCCAGAAGGAACGACGAACTTACGACAGCCCAAAGAAGAGTTATAAGTATCGAGGTAACGAAGGTCGAAAGAAAGAGAATTATTCTCGAGACAACCGATGGCCAGACCCTATGAAACTCGATGCCACCTTCAAGCAAGGCAACCGCCTACACAACCCTGATAAGGAGCAACAGCTTAAGGAACGGCTCTGCTTCAACTGCAACAAGCCTGGACAATTGGCGCGAAATTGCAAACAACCAAAGAAAGGGAACGGCGGACGAAAGTATGGCAAACAGCTCAATGCCACTTGGCAAGGTCAGGGCGGGTATGATGCCTCGCGAGGACAGCTATGTGCCACGTTAAAAGGAAAAGAGAACTGGAGTGTTACCACTCAGGATCTCAAGGAATTCTACTCGTCAAATGGAGAAGACAAGAATGATGACAAGGAGCTCACTACCTATCAAAAAGACCCGTTACAAGCATTTGAGAAGACGGCAAGTAAGAATCTCTTCAAGGAACAACTGCCAGGAACAGTGAGAACCTTCAAGGACGCCATGCTTCAGGAGACAGTCGATCAAGGAATTCCTGTGCCCAAGACACCAACGAGCTGGCAAGACACTACACAAGTCTGGGAGGTTGCAGTTCCCACAATGAGGTGCCAACCAAAATACCCTCACCAGCAGGAGCTACGTGGAGCAAAATACACAGAAATGGAAGCCACGATTTGGCTAGAGTACAAACTCTGCAAATACAATGTCCGGGACGCTATCGCGGATTGGGGAATCTTCAACATATACCACCCTAAAAAAGAGGTCTATGAAACTCGACAAAACAACCTGTTACAAGTATTACAACAACTAGAACAGGAGGGAGAGTACGAAGCATCACAGCTTGCAGAAATCTGGACTGCAAATGAGTAACCATTCTGAGGAACCCATTCTAGGAGAGAAGAGGGAAACACACACATTGGAAGTGCACCAACGCCTACGCCTTGAAGCAAAACAAAGAAGAGAAGGGACACCAGTTTCACGACCATTAGAATATGGTGAATATGAGGGATTTTCCTCAGACGGTTCTTCCTCAAATGATTCAAAAAACTAGGAGTCCTTGGCAGTAGGCCACTGGCGAGCGACATGAAGAGGCCTAGTACCAACCAGCTATGCGCCACGACAGGCGACATGCAGATATATGTGGTTGCTAAGATACAACAGCAACACCTCCGAGCTATGATAGACTCAGGAGCAATGGGCAACTTTATGACAAAGAAAGTAGCAACACACACAGTTTCAGGACGCAACTGAAGACTGACCCATACCCATTAATGGTTGTAGATAGAGAGCCCATCTCAACTAACAACGGAATGGTGACCTACGAGACGGTCCCATTAGAAATGGTCATGCTCGGACACAACGAAATAATACAGTTTGATATTGTACACATGAACAATTATGCATGCATCCCTGGTGTACTGTGGCTTAAGAAACACACCCCCAGATCGATTGGCAGAAAGAGAAAGTTGTGATGAGCCACTGCGCATGTGAACGAATGGACATGATGCAAGAAGGGAAGAGAAACTCCCAGGGCCTACACGAGGCATGTCCAACCTCTACAGAGCTCGGTGACCTAGCCCAGGCACCCTCACCGATGAGTATACTGGTGGAGTATAAGGCATACAAGCAGTTATTCCGGGAAAGCCCTATCCAAGAGGCGCTTCCTAAGCACCAACCATGGGATCATGAGATACCTATCATGGAAGGAAAGAGTCCACCGTTCGGACCAATATATCAGATGTCAGCAGCAGAGCTGGACGTACTGAAGGAATACATTGACGAGAACCTTGCGAAAAGGTTCATTCGACCATTGACATCACCAGCAGTAAGTCCAATACTATTTGTGCCAAAGAAGGACAAGAAGCTAAGACTCTGCATGGACTATCGAGGAACAAATAATGTCACTATCAAAGATAGATATGCTTTACCTTTGATAAACGAACTACACAACTGGTTCCAGGGAGCCAAGATATTTACCAAGCTGGACCTCAGAGGCGCCTATAACCTAATTCGAATCAAGGAAGGTGATGAGTGGAAAACAGCATTCCGCACCTGGTATGGCTTGTTCAAATACTTGGTTATGCCCTTTGGTCTAACAAACGCACCAGCATCCATGCAGAGGCTCATGAATACAGCTCTCCATGAATACTTGGATGTGTTTGTTATCATCTACCTAGACGATATCTTAGTCTACTCAGGAGACCTAACGGAACATATTGGTCATGTTCGGAAGGTATTACAGTAGTTAAAGGAGCATCGGTTACTCCTCAAGCCAGAAAAATGTGAATTCCACAAGGATCAAGTAGAATTCTTAGGCTACATTGTCGGAAGGCATGGCATCAAAATGGACCAAGCAAAGGTCACAGCAGTGTTGGAATGGCCAACACCAACCATGGTCAAAGAATTACAAGCCTCCTTAGGCTTCGCCAACTTCTACCAGAGGTTTATTATGTGATATTCCAAGGTAGCTCAACCACTTACAGAGCTTACAAGGAAAGACCTTACCTTCGAATGGACAAGCAAGGCAGAGGCTGCTTTTTAGGAACTTAAGATGAAGTTCACAGAAGCACCTATCCTAGTCACATTCGACCCTGCAAAGAGGATTGTCCTCCAAACGGACTCCTCTGACTTTGCAATTGGAGACTGTCTAAGTTAACCAGACAAGGATGAGAAGCTTCTGCCAGTTGCATATTACTTTAGAAAACTGTCACCCGTGGAGCTCAACTATGACATCCATGACAAGGAGCTGATATCTATTGTCGTTGCTTTTGAGCAGTGGCAAGTATATCTTGAAGGATCAACCTACCCAGTACAGGTATGGACAGATTATAAGAACCTTATATACTTCACCACAACAAAGGTATTAAACCACAGACAAGTCCGAGCAGAGACACTTGCAGCCTACAACTTTACGATTACATATCACAAGGGCTCTGAGAACGCAAGAGCTAATGCTCTTAACAGAAGGACTGACTACATCGTCCCTAAAGAGGAAAGACCTAGAGTCATATTGGAGAAGACAGATGCAGGAATGCAATACAAGTGTTACAATGGTCACGGAGGTCAAGAAGCCAGTCCGGAGAATAATAAGATAGATTGAATCTAAAGAGAGAAGAAGAAGAAGAAGGAAGGAAGGTGAGGCTATTCCTCGTAATATACAGTTGTTCGCTTAGTGGTAGTATTGGTGGCTAAGGCTGCACCCGTAACAACCGTAACAAGCTGTAAGCTATAATCTTAACAACAAGGAGTTGCTAGCCATGATTTCCACTGTGCAGAACTTGGAGTTGGAAGAAAGAGTCAAGAAAGCTTATGCAACAGACGAATGTGCAAAGCGAGTCTTAATAAAAACTGAAGGCGACTTCACCATTGATGAACAAGGATTGATCCGATTCAAAAGATTAGTGTATGTCCCAAGCAAAATGAGATTCCCGCTAGTGCAAGAACAACACTCGCTACCAGCACACGGCCATCAGGGAGTAACACGCACCTTCGAACGAATTACCCGACACTACTACTTCCCAGGTATGAGGAAGCAGGTGTAAACGGTAGTAAGAGAGTGTGACATTTGCAGCAAATCAAAATCCAATAGGCACTTGCCATATGGACAGCTAAAATCCACTCCAGTACCAATAGGAGCATAGAAATCCATAGCTTTAGACTTCATTGTCAAGCTACCACCCTCTCGGGACCCATTAACAAGAGTAGTATTTGACGCCATCCTGATTATTATGGAAAGACTCACGAAATATGGAACGTTTGCACCATATTTAGAAGCTAGCTGTAATGCTGACTTCTAATGATAGAAGACACAGAGGTTTCTTGCGTAAGGTTGACTTGACAGAGAGGCAGGGGATTAGACACAAAGGCTTTCCAAGTAACACGTTACAGTATTGTAAAGAATACTATATTGAGTTGAGCACGAAGCTCCTATTGTCATACTGACATTCGTTGCACTCAGTTTGCTATCAAACTCAAGAGCAAACTTGGAAATCTCCTCCTCAAACCTACAAGTCACTATACATATTTTGGCTTATCACACCAACAACAAGAGCAATACTACTCAACAATTGCTACAACCATCTATGATTCATTACACGTCATCGCTCCTTAGTTACTGAGCCTATATTACCACATAGCATATCTCTACAACCCTCTATGATTCATTACATGACATCACTCATTGTAAGGGGTTATTTGGACAGCGTGCTAGGACCGGTAGGTAGCAATCAATATGGTATTCCACAGACTAAACTCTGAGCCCCCTTAAAATGGGGGCTCAGCTATTGTTATGTAGTGCAGGCTTACGGGCGGTCCGCAACCGACCCACCTCCGACTCGGAGGTGACTACGTGTCTCAGCCTAATTGGTGTGGCCTGACTGATTAGGCTGCTGCGGGTGGACGTAGCATGGCTCGGTGCCGTAACGGAGCCGAGCTGCTCTATACCCGTAGCCTGACTCGTCAGGCCTTAACCGTGCCCTCGACCGCGTCCCTTCGACACAGGCTCGACCCCCCGAGTCGCCATGTACCTGTGACAATACCCCCCCCTCTAGGACCTGAGACCCTAAAGGTCCCTAGGACTCCCTACACCTCCCATTCCTACGCGCTAGGCGCCAAGCCCGCCTTCTACCCTCGGCAGCCGCTCTGGCCTTGATTCCGAATGGATCACCTGACCCACCCCCAATCGCCGCCTTCTTTGAAGAGCCTGGCGTTTCTAGCCAGAATTGGCGCTCCCTTTGGCGCCGGCGGCGCTAAACCGTAAGCGGTCAGCTGGCCTTTGTTTTGGCGCAACGCGTCAAGGGCAGGGCGTCAATTGACCCCGCACGTGACCCGTCCTCCACAAAGGAGTAAGCAGGCTTAAGAACAGCCCCCCCCCGAACTCTTTTCTTCTTACTCAATTTTCGGATCCTCATCGTTGCCCCCCCCTAGCGCCACCATGACCGGCTCTCAACCGAGCCTTTTCATCGCCCCGGGCGATGACGAACCTGCTGGTGCCTCCGAGGCACCAGACTCCCGCGCCGCCCCCGACCTCGGTGCCGTGAAGAGTGAGTTTCCTTGTTTTTCTCTCGTTTCCCCATGTTTTTCTGACCTCCTGGAGCTCCCTCTGGCTGGGTCGCGTTCTGCTCACCCTCCCGCAGTGCAGAGTTGCCTGCGCCGGTTTCGCCCTCGCCCGGCCTCCGCATCTCCTTCCGTCTCCCCCCCGGTAGGTCGTTCCTTGGTTCTGTTCGTGGCTTTTCGGTGTCCTTGTGCGGTGGCTGACGTTCGGGCAGCTCCTGGTGCTTCCGCCAGTTCTTCTGCCGGTGTTGCTGCTGTCCCTCCCGTGGCCGCGCCCCTCGCCGGTGCCTCGGGTGAGTCGCTGTCTTTTCCTTGTCTCCGTGCCGTTGCTGACTTGTTGGGTGAAGCTCCCGGGGCCCCCCTCGCGCCTAGCGCCTCTGCCGTGGCTGCTGCTGCTGCCCCGGTGTTGCCCGTTGACACCCCGAGGTCGCCTCTGGTGGAGGAGTCGGAGGAGGAGGAGGAGGAGGAGGAGTCAGAGAAGGAGGAGGAGCCCGTCCGCCGCTCCTCCCAGAAGCGGAAGGCCGTCCGTCCCCCCACCGCCTCCGACGACGACGATGACGATGACGATGACGACGACGGCGTCGACGACCACGTGTCCCTGCTCCGCGTCTGCTGCCTCCGGTGCGCGAAGTACTTGGCGGTGAAGCCGGAGTTCTCGTGCGTCTTCCCGGCGACGCACACGAAGTGCACCCGGTGCACTCGTCTTAAGGACAAGTGCGTTCCGGTGAGTCTTCCCTTGTTTCCCCTGTTTGTTTTTCGGGTTGCTGACCGCTGCTGTCCGGTAGGTCCCCGACTCTGTTGTCGCCTCTGTGTCGGCGCTGCTGGCCCTACAGCGCGACTTCGACGTCGCCAAGGGTGCCGTCGCGACCGCCCTGCGCTCGCAGGTCGTGGCTGCTGCGCGTGCCCTCCCCGTGGAGGTTCGCGTGGCCGCCTCCCTGCAGGTTCCTGCTGGGGAGGTGAACGCCGCGATCCTGCGGGGGCAGGCGGAGATGCTGGCGGTTCTCTGCCGCATTGACGTAGGACCCCCCCCCTTTTTCAGTGCTCTTGTTGCTGACTGGCGTGCATGTAGGCCACCAGCGTCGCGCCGACGGCGCAGGTGGGAAGGGGAAGGGGAAAGGTAGGTCAGGGTGATAGCGACCTGCTGGGCGGCCACGTGCCCGCCCCCGTGTCGCCATCGCCCCTCGGCCTCCCGTGTGGTGTTGGTAACGATCACCGCACACAGGAATGCGGGCACGGAGAACGCAAATACTCGTATTATAGGCCCGAGGGCCGAATTAAACTACGCCCGGAGGGAGAGTCCTAGGGCGTTCGCGGCGTTCCCGGTCGGCCTGCGGGCCTGTTGTTTTGTTTTCTGCCTCCGGGCGTAGTTTAATTCGGCCCTCGGGCCTATAATACGAGTATTTGCGTTCTCCGTGCCCGCATTCCTGTGTGCGGTGATCGTTGTCGTCCTTGGAGATCTGTTGCTGCCGGGCCTGGCGGAGTCACCGACGGTTCGGTGCCGAGTCGTTTGGGGGGGTAGCTCTGTCGTCGCCTCCCTACTCGCATCCTACGCCTCGCTGTGCCAGCCGTCGATCGACGGCTGTGGCATCCTCTCAACTGGCCCCGGCGCGTCACTCCGGTCGCTCTCGTCGTCGCCGGTGTCGTGCCCCCCGTGCCGGCGCCAAGCCGCACCACTAATTGTGGTGTCGTCATGGTTGCCGGCGAGTCACCACCCATGATTGGGTTGTGCTCTCGTCCTCGCCTCCCCCCGGCGAGGATGGTGCAGGCGGCCTGCCAACCCTGTGGCGTGCCCCCCTGTGCCGGCGCCGAGCCGCACCACTAATTGTGGTGTCCTCATGGTCGGCGGCGGTCTGCTCCCCTTAGCCCCTTGCGTCGACTCCGTACCGGCTGCGGGGCGGCGCCGAGGTACTTGTGGAGGGCCTCGGGCGCGTTCGCGAGGTTTTCCTCCGGCTCCCAGGTGTCGTCCGATGGGGAATACCCCTTCCATTGAACGAGGTATCGGCGCCCCTTCGGGGTGTCCTGGTGTGTTTGGATCGACTGGACCTCCCACTCTTCGTGGTCATCAATCTGGATTGGCTCGGCCGTCACGGCAGCGGATCGGGGGTGGTAGGGCTCGAGGAGGGACACATGGAACACATCATGTATACGGTATCCCTTCGGGAGCATCAGCCGGTAGGACTGTCCGTGGGAGCCTATGTCCTCCTTGATGCGGAACGGGCCTAGGTATTTGTCTGCCAACTTGCGGTTGGGTCGAAGCTGGCGTATATTCCGTGCCGCTAGCATGACCTCGTCGCCGATCCGGAACCGTCTCGGCGTATGCTTACGGTCGTAGTGCTTCTTGTGGGCCTCGGTGGCCCGGCGAAGCGTGGCATCTAGCTCGCGCCTCTCCCACTGCAGGGCCTCTACCCTTGCGACAGCCGTGTCGTGGGTGGGTCGGGGCCCCGCCGATGCCACGTCAAGGGATGGCTGGTAGCCATATAGTAGGTAGAAGGGGGAATGCCCCGTCGTCTCGTGCTTTGAGTTGTTGTACGAGAACTCCGCGAGAGCCAGTCGACTTGCCCAGTCCCCTTGCGAGTAATCGCAGTAACAACGGAGGTAGTGCTCCAGGGTCTGGTTCTGGCGCTCCGTCTGTCCGTCGGTCTGAGGTCGGAACGCGGTGCTCAGTCGCCTCCGGACCCGAAGGTAGAACATGAAGCTCCCCCAGAAGGAGCTAGTGAACTGCGGACCCCGGTCGGACGTGATGCTGGCGGGGGTCCCGTAGTCCTTAAATATGGTGTTCATGAAGACTTCGGCGAGCTCAGGCGCGTCTATCGTGGCGTTGACCGGGACGTACCGTGCCATCTTAGTCAGCCGATCCACGACCACGAGGATCGAGTCGTATACCCGGCCTCGGTGCCGGCTCGTGGGCAGCCCGACCACAAAGTCCATCGTGATCTCCTGCCACGGTACTGTCGGGGGGGTGAACGGCGCCAGCTCGCCGTATGGCGCGTGCCTCTTGGCCTTCGTCCTTTGGCAGACGTCGCAAGTCCGGAGGTGCCCTTAACGTCCCCCCTCATGCCTGGCCAGTAGTATTTCCGCTGTAGCAGTTCTTGAGTCCGGGCGAAACTGAAGTGGCCCGCCTGCGGGTCGTCGTGGTGGGTGGCGAGCAGCTCTGCCCGCATCGCGGGCGAGTTCGGGACGTAGATGGCGTCTTTTCTGTGCAATAGTCCGTCAGGGCTGGTCGTCCACAACTTCGTCTCGGGTTCGTGTCGGTGCCGCCCCGGCGCCGACTCATACTGCCTTTGAATAACGAACTCGTCCTTCCCTTGTAGAGCGTGCAGTTCCTCTCGCATCGTGGTCATCGGGAGCCTATAGGAGGTCTCTCCCGCGACGATGCTCCTTGCTGCTTCCCTGAGCAGCGGCACCGCCCCCATTGGCGTGCCAGTGAGCGCGATGGTGTCCGGCTCGGCGGCGTCTTGGCGGCGCGGGCTTTCGTCAGAACCCTCCATCCCTCCGGCTTCCCGCCCCTCCTCACCTCCCCCCGGTGAGGATGGTGCGGGCGGCCTGCCAACCCCGTGGCCCCGTGCCGCTCCGCTCGCTCTGCCCCCGTTTGATGTTGTGAGTGAAACTGCGGTTGCAGTTCCACTCGCCACCCGGGGCCGGCCTCCGCGGCGACTCGCCTCCCGGGTGATCGCCCCCAGCATCAAGGGGGGACCGAGGTCCATCGCCCTGGCGTCGGGTCCGCCTCCCCCCGGGCTGCCGCACAGCCTGAAGTGTAGTCCTGGGAGGTGATGGCCCTCGTCTTCGCCGTCCCGTGGGAGGTAGTCCGGGCGTCGTGACGGCCCGTCGGCCGGGTTCGCCTTGCCCGGCCGGTATTCGATGTAGAAGTCATAACGGGCGAGCGACTCCGCCCAGCGTGCCTGCCGCCCGTTAAGGCTCCGTTTGGTCATGAAGTACCGGAAGTTATTGTGGTCCGTCCGGACCCTAACCGGTTCGGCGATGCCCCGGAGGTACTGTCCCCAGTGGTCCATGGCGCGGACGATGGCCATGAGTTCCTTGTCGTGGGTGTCGTATCGCAGCTCAACCGGTGTGAGCTTCTGGGAGAAGAAGGCGACAGGGTGCCACCTCTTGTCCGGGCTCGTCCCGAAGAGTTGCGACAAGATGCCAGAGACGGCGTACCCCGACGCGTCGGTCTCCACCTGCGTGCTTAGGTCCGGGTCGTAATGGCGCAGCATGGGGGCGCTGGTGAACCGGCGCTTCAGTTCCTCGACCGCCGCGGCGGCTTCTTGCGTTAGGGTGAAGGGCATCCCCTTAACAACCCCTGTGGTTTTAAGGAGGTTGGTGATCGGCCCCGCTACCCTCGAATAGCCTTTGATGAAGCATCGGTAGAAATTGGCGAAGCCGAGGAACACCTGGACCTCCCTCACCGACCGGGGCGGTGGCCAGTCGTTGACGGTCGCGACTCGGGCCGGGTCCATGCTGATGCCCTGGGGCCCTACGATGAATCCGAGGAACTCGACGCAGTCAGTGGTGAAGACACACTTCTTGAGGTTGGCGTAGAGCCAGTGGGTTCGTAACTGGCGTAGGACCTCCTCCACCGCTGCCGAGTGTAGGCGCGGGTCCTCAGAGAAGATCAGGATGTCGTCTAGGTAAACCATGCACGTGACGTCCACCAGGCCGATTAGGGCCTGGTTAATGTAGGCCTGGAAGGTGGCCGGCGCGTTGGAGAGGCCGAATGGCATGACTAGGTATTCGAAGTGGCCGTACCGGGTCCGGAACGCAGTCTTCCACTCGTCCCCCTTCTGGATCCGGATCCTGTGGTAGGCATCCTTCAGGTCTAGCTTGGTGAACACCTTCGATCTGCGCAACCGGTCCAGGGTCTCGCTGATAAGGGGTAGGGCTGTACGGTTCCGAATCGTAACCGCATTCAACCCGCGGTAATCTACGCACAGCCGCAGCCCTCCATCCTTCTTAGGTACGAAGAGGATGGGAGCTCCGGCTGGGCTAATGGACCATCGAATCCAACCCTTCTCTAGGCTAGAGTCGAGGTATTCGCGTAGTGCTTTGAGCTCCGGCTCGCCCAAGGGGTACACGGGGCTCCATGGTGGCTCCTTACCCGCCTCCATCTCGATCTTGTGCTCCATGGGGTGGTGTTCCGGTAGGACCCCCGCCTTCTCGTTGTCGAAAACGTCCGCGTACCCGGCGTATTCTTTGGGGAGGCGTGGCCTGTGGGAGGAGACGACCCCGATCCGGTAACGGTGCGGCACCGGCCCCGAGCTTAGGACGCCGTACGTGCCACCTGCTTCTTGGACGTCTTCGAAGAATTCCTCGGGGCCTACCTCCTGGACTATCCCGGGTCTCGTGGGGAAGCGCCACGTTCCCTCCTTGTACCCAATGGTCGGGTCAATGTCAGCGAGCCAGGGATACCCGAGTATTAGGTTTACGTCGAGGCCGTCGAACGCACAGGCTACGAACCGGTGACGGGTCGCCCGCGTTTTCCCTGTCCCATCGGTAGCCTCCAGGGTCAGGTGGTGTGTCCCGTAGGTCCAAACCCCCCTTCCTTCCAGGGTCGACAACCCCGTGTCGGCCCCGGCCTCTGGTTCCCATCCGCATTCCACGGCCAGTGCTTGTCGCACGCAATTTTCCTCAGCGCCGCTGTCTATTAGGGCTCTTTTCGTTCAGCGCCCTCCGTCGGCCGTTGTCACCTGAACTGCGATCACCAGTCGCCTTCTCTCAGTGCCGTCCCGGCGGCCTGTGGCGAGCGATATCACTGCCGGGACTCGCCTTTTTCCATAAGGTTGGGGCAGTCGGGGGAGATGTGCCCCTTCTGGCTACAATTGTAGCAGATCGCTTCAGGGCATTGGGCCAGTCGGTGGTCGGCTGACCCGCAGCCGTGGCACCCGTTGCCCCTACGGTCCGCCCGGGAACCCGGCATTGTCCTGTTGGGGCTCATGGCTGGGCCCCTCGTCACCGCCTCCGCGTTATCACCTCTCATCGCCTTAACCGGGGCCCATTGTCCCTGGCTAGGCTCTTCATTATAGGTTTGCTTTGGGGCGTCGCCTCGTCGCCGAGGTGGCCGTCTGTCGGTCAGCCGGTGGGTGTTCTCAATCCGGGTGGCTAGGGCCAGCATGCCCTGCCTCGTACGTGGGAGGTCGTCCCGCTGGAGTATGTCCCGTTGGACCTCTTCTCAGAGCTTCGCGTACAGGTTGTTCTTCCGGAGTTTCTCCTCGTCGATCCGGAGCTCTAGTTCGAGCGTGTCTAGGTACGCTGCGAAGTCCTCGGCCGACTGAGTTTCTCCCTGCTTAGCCGCGTTGTACGACATGA